CTATTATTTATCATACTTACAGGTTGTGATTCAGTGGAGCAGCTGGTCCAAATAAACAGGATACTGATCCATCTTTCAACAGCAAGCATTTTGTGAATCCCGCGTTGAACTCCCCGAGATTAGAGAAGCAGTCGTCAGTAGAATTACGTGTTTGTGGGCGGGGTCAAGTTGTTCGCTGCCGGCACATAGGCGCGCATTATGCAAATGTGTTACCCCGTGACGTGTAGCTGTCACGGAAGTGGGATTCGAATGACTAACGACTCGTTTCAGCTGTTCAGAGTCCATTCTTTATTTTGGGACACAATAACTTTATTTATCGTGCACTTTCAGCTTTACAGCTTTGCACATCATTTACATTCTCATACAGCTACATTACACACTGCATGAAAGGCAATATTGGAAATGGCATAATTTTAAGAAAAAAATATTTGAATAAAACAAAAACATCTAATTGGATGAGCCACATTCAAAGCCACTATAAATAAATATTGGACATAATTTGAATTCTATATTAATGTGACTAGTTGCAAAGCAACCATAAACAGTTTACAGTTAGGGTTAATGAACTATAGAAAAACATAAGAATATGGAAGAATAGAATGCAGGTATTAATGAAAAATTGCTGTTGCCACCATTTAAATAAAAAAAAGCAATAAGCCGGTAACACTGCAATCTAGTTTATTGCTCTGATATAACTGCTGCTGAAGCAGATTATTGAGAGCAAATAAAAACTGCTTGTGTGGTTTTGTGATAAGGTATATCTCTTGGCTTCAGAGCCTCTGATAACCGCTTCACAGAACCACATGTACTATATTTATCTCAACTGTGATGTTTGAGCGTCTTATTGTACAGTATGTTCTTGAACTCAAATAACAGATCTCTCTCCTCATTCAATGCACTATGCAGGAAGTTTTGAATTTAGATCATGTCAACAGACCACAAATGATATTTTTAAAGGCTAACAGATGCATGCACATGAATCAGATACATCTGACTAAATTATGTAGGTATGTCAGACATGTGCTCTGTGGTGTTTATTAGCCTACAGTGGAAATTAACTAACTATGACCTTTAACACACATTCACAACAGACAGAGAAACCGGCGCAGAAGCGCTGAATCATTACCGTAATACACATAATACTATAAACAATCAGTCGAAATGCCAAAACTTACAGCGCAGAAACTGTTTTAATATTTGCATATATTCTAATGTTTATACCCAGGGTTAGGGAGTAACGGAATAAATGTTACGTATTTAAATTTAAAATGAGTAACTGTATTTCATTACAGTTACATTTTAAATGGGTGGTAATCAAATTACGGTTACATCTGAAAAGTATTTTAGATTACCAAAGTGATTACTTTGAATTTTAATGTCACTGTCACTGGCAATTAATGTAAACAGCAATTACTGTAATCTGCAAAAGCATCCTAAACTGCATTTCTGCTCACAAGTTTCATATCCCTTGCAGAATATGTGTAATAATTAAACAAAATAAGAGGGATCATAAATGTGTTGTGATGTGTATTTTTTCTTAATTTGTTTAAATATTAGTTTTTTCATTTATACCGTTCAGAAGCTAATACTTACATGTTTCCCAGAAGCCTACAGTTTACCATGCATCCAATTCAGAAAGTTTGCACACTTTCTGACACTTACTGACGCCTCTTTTTTTTTATTAGTAGCCCAATCTATTTTCAATTTCACTATAAATTATTATTATTATTATTATTTTAGATAGTTAGGCCTATACTTATTCTGCTAGCAGGACTACATATTCCTTTGCTATACACTGTAAAAAATGACCGTGAATTTAACGGTAAAAGACTGTAAAAATGCTACAGTAAAAACCTGTTAAATGGTTAACGGTAAATTCCCCTACTATATACGGTGAAAAACTGTATTGGACATTACATGTATTGGACATTCATTTTACGGTAGTATACCGTTTTTGGAAGTGAAAAAGACAGTTTTATAGCCAGTGAATAACCATAAATTGACATTCCCAGAATTCCCTGCGCATTTCAAATTTGATGTTTTTTTGTTGAAATAACTATGTTTCTTCTTAGTTTTTTTTAATCAGTTTTGTATATTAGGGTTGTGTGTTACACCTAATGTTGTTAAATGAATGTTTATTGCATTATTTCAGTTTCATGTGTGTCACCATGATGGTGTTTAGTGTTTGTGTGAATGACACTGTGCACCGTCTATATATGTTATTATTTAAAAGCTGCTTGTGATGGGCTTTGGTTCATCATGTGACTTTCTCATCACCACCTGCATTGGGTGGTTATCAGTGTATTACAAAGGTACAAAACAGATTTCAGTACTTCAATAGGTTGGTATATTAACATTATATCAGTTAATGAAATTACGGTATTTAACTGTAAATTTAAGTTAAAACCGTAAAACCTAAAACGTTGCTACCGTATTTTTTACGGTAAAATTACGGCAACCACAGCTGCCAGTTTTTTACCGTAAATTTTTACGGATTTTTTTTACAGTGTATTACTATTGTACGACGGAGTTTTAGATATGCGTAAAAATATTGAAAATTACGAGAATAAAGTCGTAATAGTCGGAATAAAGTTAAAATGACAAGAATAAAATCTTAGCAACAGATTAAAGTAATAATATTTCAAGAATAAAGTCAAAGTTACAAGAAGTCGTAAGTCGCATCAATAGTCTTTGCAACACAAGATTAAAGTCAATGTTTTGAGGACAGAAGTTATTGCATTGTAAATAAAACTCGTAATATTTTGAGAATAAAGTCACAATTATATGAGAACAAAGTAACAAAGAATAAGTCTTAGTAATGCGAAATTAGTAATGTTTAGTAATTAATTAGTAATGAGAATAAAGTAGCACTGAGATTAAAGTCGTCATATTTTGTCAAGATCAAAGTTGTAGCAATATAACAATATTGAGCTCAAAGAAGAAATTATAAAAAGTCATAACATTGTAAGAATAAATAAAAAATATTTGCCGAATAAAGACAAAATTACGTCACAGTAATACGAGAATTAAGTATTTTATGAAGACTATTTTCGTAATTTTGACTTAACTAGAAAAACATAATTAAAATAAAAAAATCATTATTAGTCAATACATAGGTAATGAGATAAGAAATATTTTTGAATTACTATCGCTAGACACTAGTCAAAAAGTCACGTGTCATTGGGTTACTTACTAATAAACAAAATAGGTAGGGCTACTAGTAATGCAAAAATAGACACAAGCTAGTTTTAAAGGAATAAACAGCTTGCCACATATATTTTGTAAATCAACAGGTCTGAAAAGTTACTTTAAGTGTGTGTGTGTGTGTGTGTGTGTGTGTGTCTTTCTGTGTGTGTGTAAGTGTATATGCTGCTCATTTAGAGGAATTACGGTAAAAACATCAACGTTAAGAGGCCGAACGAACATCTATTGACAGCAGCGCTCAAATCTACAAAAAACTCTACAGTACACACTACGAGGTAAGCACTAAACAAGCTGTTACACAGCGCTTCATGAACATTACTGCATGCTGCATGCTTACATCTACATCTCTGCTCATATTAGCGTTTGAGTTCATCGTTTTTGTACAGTTGTCTATCAGGCTAATATCGGGAAGCTCCGTGCTGTTGCATATTAAAAGCATGCAGCTGAAGTTATTAGCACGAGCGTTATGGCAGCTTAAATGTGTGCGTGTTAGTGCGAGATCGAGTGGAAATATCAGCAGTTTCGGCTCTGGTTTGGTTGAGTGCACGTGAGCTAACAAGCTATCAGCTGACTGACAATGAATGAATTGAAAGTGCACGCGCTAATAGTGTAGTTGCTGGTGTAAAGTTAGTGCAAATGGACTTTTGCACATTACTTTTCTGTGACATCGCGCACTGGCTTCAGTAAATCATCCTCTAAACTAGTTCCTGGAAGACTGAGAAACACAGCCTTATTTCATAGTCCAGAGTCTATCACACACAACCATACTGGACTCTCACTGCCTGACTAGAAAATGGCATTGGGTCACAAGACTGGGTGGAAATGCACAGATATTGCCTCAGATTAACCTTCATTCTGTGTTATGCTTGGCCCTGAGTCTCATGCTTTGAGATATCAGATGGTGATTCACTGGAGTAACTTAAAGCTGGTTCCTGGTGATTCTGCAGTCAGATATGTTTTGTTTGTAAGGTGTTTTGTATTTCTAAATCACTGAAACATGCATAAACTGCTGCAGAGGAATTACATTTCTTATGATGTGACCTTGGCCAAAGTGGGGTCCGTGAAAAATGTTTAGAAAAAAAAAATATTTATTTATTTTACTTGTTTATTTTTGCACTCATTTATTGGCTTATTTATATGTATTTATTTCAATCGATTTTATTTATTTATTTTGATTCAAACAATCACACGAATAAACAAATAAATAAAAAATTAAATGAATACAAAAATATTTTTGTGTTTGAATTAGATTGAGAGAGAGATTTAGATTCAAACAAACAAATAAACATAAATAAAATTGCTTAACATAAATGTGTACTGAATAAACAAGCAAGTAAATAAAATCTATTTTGGTGTTCATTTTTGTATATTTATTTTATTTATTTAGATTCAAACAAAAACGAATAAGTAAATAAATGAGTACTGAATAAACAAATAAATAAATATAATAATAATGAATGAATCTGTTTTTGTGTTTGTTTGAATCTAAAATGTATATGTTTATTTTATTTATTTACATTCAAAAAAATGTAAGTAAATAAATATACAAGTAAATAAATTAATATATCAGTACAGCACTAAAATTAGTTGGGGGAAAAAAACGTAATAAAACTAACAAAATATTTTCTGAATATTTATAATATTAAGTTTTCACAGTATAAATTGGGTCTTTATGCAAGAATCTATAAAGATCCCTTTTACATTTTTGGTCCCTCGCACAAGAATGATCATGTTTAGGGGCATCTAAAAGATTGAAAAACCTTGTTTTAAGTCTAGTCCCTCAATCATTTGCTGTAAATCTGCCTTCCCTGCAGGGATTATAGTTGTTCACCCTGCTCGGTCGGTACTTGTCTTCTGTTTGATGTGTTGCACAATTATGCTGCTGTTAGAGCAGGAACAAAACACTTTGCTTGCTGCACAGCTTGGCCTCATTGCCTGCTCATATCCCAGGAGAACTGAGTTAAACGTGTTAACATGATAGCATGAGAAGACCTGCTGGGGTGAAGCACCAGGGGCCCTTATGCCCTCATTTTTCTTCTAAGGTTTAAATGAAGTCCTTGGGTTGTAAACTGCTGCCTTCTGCTGTAGTAATGTTGATTTATTGCAAAATCAGAAATGGTTAAAGATGAACAATCAGTCATTGAATGAAACTTATATTGCATCACTAAAAAAATAATGAATGAACATCTGAAGTATTTAAGCATAGATGGATATATATTAGCTGGGTTAACTAATTAGCTAATAATTGTCTATTGACCGCTGCATTTTATACATTTACATTTAATCATTTGGCAGACGCTTTTATCCAAAGCGACTTACAAAAGAGGACAATAGAAAGTTAAGTGCTAGTATTAATTGGTCAGGTGCTGGCGAAAAATATGTTTTTTTGAAAATGGCTAAAGACTCAGCTGCTTGAATTGAAAGTCACAATACAAAGTCATTTACATTGCATTCAGTGTCTTCATTTTATCAGCTCATGCATTCCCTGGGAATTGAACTCATGACCTTGGTATTGCTAGCCATGTTTTCTTATTATTTAAATAAAATAATGTTATTATATTTGGACTGTGCCTCATTCAGGAGCATTAAATTGTATTAAATATCAGCATATCAGCCACTATATTATTGAACAAGTGTTGCTCATAATCAGTGTAATTTTAGTATTTATGTACTAAAATAACATTATTTATAAATTGTATTAATATTTAGAATTGGCTTATATAATATAACAAAATATAATATACCGTATTTTATATTTTTAGTTTTTTTTTTGTAATTCTATGTGCTTTTGTCATTTTATTAGTTCTTCTTATATATTTGTATTTATCTTTAGATTTATTTCTATTTAAATTTTAGTCATTTTAGTACTTCACCTTAAACTGAAAACTCCAAGGCAGTTTAAATCTAATATTCATACTTTATTTAATTTTAACTTTATTTCAATTAGGGTTGCAAAGGGGTGGAAAATGTCCGGTAAATTTCCGGAAACTTTCCAAAAATCCCTGGAATATTCCAACAACAACAAAATCCTGGAAAGTTTCCAAAATTTCTGGAATATTTCCGAAATTTACTGGAAATTTTCCACCGTTTTGCAACCCTAATTTCAATTAGTGAAAATAATTTTTAGTCGTAGTTAACAATAACAACACTGGTCATAATTTGTATAGCACTGGCACATTTTATCATTTGTATCAGTCCGCTCATCTGTTATCTGTTACTCCGCTAGAGTTGTTACTTCTTTTGCCTCTTTTGAGTAGATCTGCTATCTCGTTTTCCCCCAAATTTGAACTTTTATTAAGTAAAACATCGGCTAAAATCAGAGCTAAATTGTTTTTACTTGTCTATATTTTGTCTGAAATATCAGTTATGCATTATCACATTATTTATGATATTGCATAGTTCACCCAATAATGAAATTTTCAATAATGAAAATGTCTTTCCAATCCCATAACTTTTAAACACAAATGAAGATATTTTTAATAAAACCTGTGAGATTTCTGTACTTCCATTCACCCAAAACGTTGATGGTTAAAAAAAGTCTTCTAAAGAGACATGATCGCTTTTATTCACATATATAAACATTAAATCAATGCACATGCTGTATATAGAGCACATCAAACATTTAAACTTTTCCTTAAGGGGTTAAATATACAGTCATTTTATTTAGACACAGTTATTATAGGCGTTTATAGACATCACAGAGCCGCTAGTGTAATCATGACCTATGAGCAGACATGACTTGGATATGAATAGATTGATTGAAACATTAGGAAACTGGTGTGAAGAAAGAGAGTTGGCTTTATTTCTGACTCTTGTGGTCTGACCACTCACCTGATGCATCACAACCAGTCCAAAACCTCTCCAAATCTCCAGACTCATATGTGACCCTGGACCACAAACCCAGTCTGAAGTCGCTGGGGTATATTTGTAGCAATAGCCAAAAATACATTGTATGGGCCAAAAATATTTTGATTTTTTTTTGCACACTCGGATTCCAGATTTTCAAATAGTTGTATCTCGGCCATATATTGTCCTATCATAACCATACATCAATGGAAAGCTTATTTATTCAGCTTTCAGATGATCTGTAAATCTCAATTTCAAAAAATTGACCCTTATGACTGGTTTTGTGGTCCAGGGTCACTTATGAGTTTCTTTTGAAGTACATTATCTGTCACAGTTTTGGAGAGGAGCATGTTTATCTCATTGCATGAACCTGATCTCTGTAAGATCCAGCGGATAACAAGGCTGTGATGTAAACTGGAGATTTGTCAACATGGTTCTGTATAAACCAGTGATAAAGTTGTGCCTCCTTGATCTCTGGTGCTGGCAGCGGCTTCAGATGGTGTCGTCCCGGCTGTCACGTACCAGCCTCTTAATTCTGGGAAGTTCCCGTGCCTTTGGTGTTGAATAGAGGTGGAGAAAGAGTCCGAACTCTCTTTTGCAGAAGCGGAGTGCCAGGATAAGAGATTTTGATATTTTGGACATATTCTGGATTTTTTGGGGAAATTGTCTTGCCGTTCAGAACAGGATCAAAGGTGTAGTTATAATTATTGCAAATTACTGCAAATACTGGTTGAACTTGTTAAAGGTACTTTTATAAAGAGTACTTATTATGGAAAAAAGAATATACTTAAGTGTGAACTGAATGTAATGTTTCTGGACACTTATTTACATGTTAATCTCAATCAAATGAAAATGTATTTTAGATTACATTTATATTAAATGCAATTAGCTGAATTTTAGAGTGCTTTTTTGACCCACTTAAGTAGGACTTAAGTACACCCGTTTATGTAATTTCATAATTTTATTGTCTTATATGGTTAAATTGTACTGCTGAATGTACTGACAAGCATTTATGGTCAACTAAGTATAGTTTAATGTCTTTTCTGTTGAAACTTGTATGTCATTTATTTAAATATATTTGTAATTACACATTTATAATGATGGAGTTGCTATTTAGTACATTTAAAATATATTATCTTGTAAATGTAATTGAATAACACAATATAGTTAAAACTATTGGACCCCCTTTATATTAAGTGTCTTACTACTTACATTTTAATTAAGTGCAACTACTGTGTGCATACATTTTTACATTGTACTTATGTTTAAAAATACCTTCTTGTAGTTAATTTCTGTAGTTACATCTGTAATTATCCTAACCCACGCTTAAACCTAATCTATCCCTAACCTCGCCCGAATCCCTCCTCAGTAGCAGCAAAAGTGTTTTGCAGTTTAACATGAACACAATAAGTACATTGTACCTAAGTTACATTTTTTTTTTTACTTAAGTACATAGTAGTTAAAGACAACTATTTTAAAGTGGGACCAAACTATTGTTTATTACCAAACTATATATTTAAATATCTTTGTAATTAGACTTTTGTAATGGTGAAGTTGCAAGTTAACTTTAAATGTAATATCGAATAACACATTACAGTTAAAATTATAATCAAGTACTTAAGTCTGTTAGTATCAATCACATCAAAATAAGTGTACTTTTTTTTTTAAAGCACAACAAAAGATTATTAAAATAATGATTTAAAATGTACTTTAAAGTAAAACTTTTAATTTGACACTATAACAAAGTGCACCTTTTAAAAGTGTACTTAAGTGTGTTAAGAAACACGGTCATGAAAAAAGGCCTACATTTAACTGGTCTTTTATTTCATTAATGTAAATTTAAGATGTAAAGTACACAAGTGCACTTTCAATACAAATAAAACAATTGGGAATGTTTGCATAATACCATAATTTTCTCACATCATAACTTGAGTGGTAAACATTTGTGATCTCATGTGCAAAAAAACATGGTATTACCATTGATTTTACCATCGCCAAAAATTGTTTATTAGTGAATTCAGCAAGTTACTTAGGAATTTTTCTCTTCCTCTCAATTAAAGGTTCAAGAGTGTGCGGTGAGGAAGCGTGTTTTTAGTTATGACGAACCCTTATGCACACATTATTGAGCCTCTGGACCCCCAGAAGCCCGACCACAAGTTCTTCAACCTTAAAAAGCTCAAAGACCCCAGATATGGTAAGACGGTATTTTATATCTATGAATTGTTGAATGAAAGTTACAGCAACTGTGCTGCTGGCAGGGTTATTGTATGGAAAATGACTTGAGTAGAGCCATGACTGTGTCTTTCTCTATGCCTTTCTTTGAAGACCAGCTTCCCTTCTCCATCCGTGTGCTGCTGGAGTCTGCGGTGAGGAACTGTGACGGGTTCCTGGTGAAGAAAGAGGATGTGGAGAAAGTCCTCAACTGGAAGGTGACGCAGAGTCAGACCGTGGAGGTGCCTTTCAGACCGGCTCGCGTCATCTTGCAAGACTTCACGTAGGTTTTAACTGGGTCTCCATAACCTGCAGCTTTTCGTCTTCCGGTTACATACGTCTCATTGTTGGTTCTCTGTAAACAGGGGTGTTCCTGCAGTGGTCGACTTTGCTGCCATGCGTGATGCAGTGAAAAAACTACAGGGCGACCCCGAGAAGATTAATCCAGTCTGTCCGGCAGACCTTGTCATAGATCATTCCATTCAGGTTGACTTCAACAGGAAGTAGGTCTTTGCCATTTGACGGAAATGTAAAATAGTTTTACATAGTCTGTCGATCAGAACAGACTCTATTTGATGTCTGTTTTCATGTGCTGAGTTCTCATGCTGAAATGTTTTAGATACTTTCAAGTTGTGTTACTGAGTAACATTTCAAGAGTATTTGCCTTCTACAACTTATTTTTTTTATCTCTTAAATCTAAATCAAGAACACAGATTGTGTTTGCTTAATCGTAGACAGCATGAGAAAATGACACCCTTGTGAAAATTTATGGCATAGTTATGACTTAGTATCTCATAATTTTGACATTTTATGTATAAGTCGAAATGCATAAGTCATAATTATAACTATTTTGACTCATGTCAGAATTATGATGTATCATAATTTCGATTGCAATAGTTATGACTTCACATCTCAAAATTTTGACATTTTATGTATAGGTCATATGCATGTCACATAACAATTTCAACTTTTTATTTCATAATTATAACTTAGTATCTTATAATTTTGACATTTTATGTATAAGTCAAAATACATAAGTCATAATTATAACTATTTTGACTTTCATGTCAGAATTATGATGTATCTCATAATTTCGATTGCGATAGTTATGACTTCACATCTCAAAATTGACATTTTATGTATAGGTCATATGCATGTCACTTATAACAATTTCAACTTTTTATTTCACAATTATAACTTAGTATCTCATAATTTTGACATGTTATGTGTAAATCATAATGCCTAATTATCATAATGCATAATTATGCCTAAGTCATAATTAAGGCAGTTCATGTCAGACGGGTGGGATCTCATAATTTCAACTTATGGCATAGTTATGACTTAGTATCTCATAATTTTGACATTTTATATATATATAAGTCATAAGGCATGTCATGCTTATGACATTTTCGACTTTTGTGTCATAATTTTGACTTATGTTGTAAATGATATAGTATCTAATAATTTTGACAATTTATGTAAAAGCCATAATACATAAGTTGTAATTATTACAATTTCAACTTTCATGTCATAATTTTGACTTATTTCATAACTATGACTTTGTATCTCATAATTTCGACCTTTTGTTCCTTTTTTGTTATTTTGGAAAAAAAGAAAGTTAAATTGTGTATCATTGTTGGGCTTATAAATAAAGAAAAAGGGAAATTCAGTAATAAATGCTAAATGTCGAGCTGAGATTTAAGCTCCGATCTTTTGGAGCAGGTGTTGGAGGTATCGAGGCGGAGGCGGTCATGTTGGGTCAGCCGATCAGCATGGTGCTGCCAGAGGTCATCGGCTACAAACTACAGGGGACGCCTAACAAATATATCACCTCCACTGACATAGTGCTTACTGTCACCAAGGTATGCAAGTCTTGCCATATCGGAATTTTATGGTGAAATTTTTTGCTTTTAAGAAACAATAACTCAAATAAGCTCCATGGTTTAGTGGATGTTTAAAAATGAAGTTGCTCTGTTTTACTGCTTTCTCTGCTCAGCATTTGCGGCAAGTTGGTGTGGTTGGAAAATTTGTGGAGTTTTTCGGCCCTGGTGTTGCTCAGCTGTCTATCGCTGACCGCGCCACCATCGCCAACATGTGCCCTGAGTTTGGAGCCACCGCTGCCTTCTTCCCTGTAGACCAGATCAGCATTCATTATCTGAAGCAGACGGGTGGGTAAACCTGTCCCTGATCAGTTTTAAAAGCTTCTGACCCTTGTTAAAAAGACACTTTAGCATACTTATAAAAAGAGTACTTATTATTGAAATAATATACTTTAAAATAATATACTTAAGTGCAAACTAAATGTAATGTTTTCAGATTTGGTTTTTTTTGCATGTAAATTGCGATGAAATTAATATGTTTTATAGTTTAAATTAATATTAAATGCAATTTTTTTTAACTTTAGAGTGCTTTTTGACCCACTTAGGTGCATATTTATTTTAATTGCATAATTACTCCGATTGTCTTTGAAATATGTGCTGACAAGCATTTATGGTAAGCTAAAATATACTTTAATGTAATTTCTATAGAAACGTGCAATATATTTGTAATTACACAATTTGCAATTTAGTACATTTAAAATATATTAACTTTGAATGCAATATTGAATAACATTACAGTTAAAATTATAATCAAGTATTTTACGCGCTTTAGTATGTTAGTCAACACATCAAAATAAGTGTACTTCTTTATAGCACAACAAAAAATCACTAAAACGGTGATTTAAAAGGTACTTTAAAGTAAAACTTCATTTGACATTGACAAAGTGCACTTTTTAAAAGTGTACTTAAGTGCGTTAAAATTATGACAGTCAGCATTTTTATGCAATAATTATTTACATAAAAAATCGAAACTATTGACATAACTCCTAATTATTTCATTAAAAGTAAAAAATGATGGGAGTCATATTTATTACATACCGTAAATATACATTTTTGTTCGACGTTTTAACATTTTTAAGAATATATGTTTTATGTAATAGTTACCAAAGCATGATTTTGTTTTTGTTTTTCTCATGTCACTACAGGAATATCTGGAAGCTCATTCCTCCACATATTTCCTTTTGAAAAATGTTAAGTGTGTATGTAGTTTGGTCAAGTTAATTTTGTGAACTTTAAGAGTACACTAAATTAAAGATGGCCTCAAAGCTAATATACATGAACTATGGACATAACAGTAGTGTCATAAAATGTACAAATAGTCAAATTTAGATTTTTCATGGGTTCTTTAAAGCAGTGCTGAAGCAACCGTTCTTGTCTAGAGACATATTCCTGCTCACCTGTGTCATCCATCACTGTCTGTGTCTGTGTCTGTCTACAGCAAGGCTTCAAAGGATTCCAGGTGGCTCCTGAGCGTCATGATGTTCAAGTGTCCTTCCAGTTTAACGGAGCGGAGTATTCTCTGTCTCACGGATCCGTGGTCATCGCAGCTATTACCAGCTGTACTAACACCAGTAACCCCTCAGTCATGCTGGGAGCAGGTACATGTCTGTCCACAGGGATGCCATCGAATTTAATTCACCTACTCACCCTCATGTCACTTGAAGAACATGTTTATTCCTGTAAAAATTGAGGGTTAACAGATGGCTCTTTTCCATGTTTTAAAAGTGTATGGAAACGGGGCTCCAAAAACACCACAGAAGTAGTCCATATGACTCTTGCTCCATGTCATTCTTATTTGACCTGTACATTTAAAGGGATAGTTCACCCAAAAAATAAAATTCTGTCATTAATTACCCAGCTTCATGACGTTCCAAACCCCTTCGTTCATCTCCGGAACACAAATTAAGATATTTTTGATGAAATCCGAGAGCTTTTAAAAAAAGCACTGTTAAAATAGTCCATGTGACATCAGGGGTTCAACCGTAATTTTATGAAGCTACGAGAATACTTTTTGTGTGCAAAGAAAACAGAAATAATGTCTTTATTCAACGATTTCTTCTCTTCCGGGTCAGTCTCTGCCGCCATTCATGAGAGTACCACGATGTATAGTCAAAAATATTAATATAGTATAATATAAAACAGACATAAGCAATTATGACAAAGTTATAACTGACACAAGTCAAAATTGACATAAAACAATTATGATAAGCCAAAATTATAAATATATACAAAGTCACAATTATGACATAAAAAGTTTAATTTGTGACAGTCATAATCAAAAATCAATATTATGACGAGTTACTTTTTAAGCAATACATATGATAAAAAGTCATGATTATGACAAAAATTCTAAATTGTGGCAGTCATAATCATTACATTACATTACATATTTATTACAAAATTGAGATATGACTTTTTGTCAGTTTCTACTTTTTAACTTATAATTATGACTCAGATTATAATAATTTTAATTTTTGTCTTATAATTATTTTTATTTTTTAAAACTATTTTAATAATTATCTCATAATTGATTTTACCAAAGCATGATTTTTATTTTAAATCTTGTTTCAAGTGAACCCTTATTTAATGTAGTCTAGATTGTGTTTTCTTTTACCTTGCAATATTTTGCTTATGGTTTTTGAGGATGAGGGCATGTTTTGCAACCTGTCTGTCTTTGCATCGGTCAAATTTGGCAGCTTTTACCAACTGACAGATACATTTGTGCCAAAATACTGTGTGGAGTAACAAAAGCTAAGGTTGAGCCTCTTTGTTTTGTAATCCTAAATATATGGCATTAGTTTTTCAAAACAGACCTGTTACCCATTTTTGAGACCCATTATAAATATGTTAACAAGCTCAAAATGTGATTTTGTCACTTTACAGTTGGACATGTATTTTTTTCTATGTAATGTAATGCTATTTCTTTCTTTCTGTCAGGTCTGTTGGCGCAGAGGGCTGTAAAGGCTGGTCTCAGTGTCAAGCCGTACATAAAGACCAGTCTGTCTCCAGGCAGTGGAGTGGTCACATACTACCTTAAAGAGAGCGGGGTCATGGACTTCCTCTCACAGTTAGGGTGAGGAGCTCATCATTGTCTGTGTTCCTTCACATAAATATAATTCTTGTGGATTTAAAGGAACTACAGAAATAAAACAGGCTCTAACTGAATCATTATGACTGGCATTAGGGTCTCAATGTTACTTTTAGTACTATTTATATACTATTATAGTATTTATTAATATTTTGAATTGGCTTTTATTTTTATATGTTGAGTTTTCATTTTAATTTTATTTTAAGTTTTATTAAGTTTGCATTTGCCATTTTATATTATTTTTTTATATTTAGCTTTAATTTATATTTATTTAATTTTTAGCTTTACCTGGTCATTTTAGAACTTCAGCTTGAACTTATTTTATTTCAATTAGTTTTAGTGTCTTAAGTTTTGTTTTTGTTAGTGTTTTTTTATTTTATTTAAGCACAGTTTTCACTGTTTTTTTGTTATATATACAGTATATGTTTTAGTACAGTTTAGTAAAATAGTTTAGTAAAATGTTAGCACTTATTTTACTTCAGTAATTCAGTTTGTTGCTAAGACAACATTTCAGATTTTTGTTAGTTTTTTTTTAGTTTTCCATCTTATATTTGTATTTTATTTTAATTTTAATTTATTTAATTGTTAGCTTTACCTGGTCATTTTAGTACTTCAGCTTGAACTTATTTTATTTCAATTAGTTTTAGTGTCTTAAGTTTTGTTTTTGTTAGTGTTTTTTATTTAAGCACAGTTTTTACTGTGTTTTTATGCGTTTTTTTTTGTTATATATACAGTATATGTTTTAGTACAATTTAGTAAAATAGTTCGTTTTAGTAATTTTATTTACTTCAGTACTTCAGTTTGTTGCCAAGACAACATTTCCGATTTTTGTTAAAGTTTTTTTTTAGTTTTCCATCTTATATTTGTATTTTATTTCAGCTTTATTTCAAGTAACAAAGACAAAATTGACATATATGTTTAATAGTTTTAGTTAACAATAACAACACTTGTTTATATATATTATTTGTGCATCTTTAGTTTCGAGGTTGTTGGTTACGGCTGCATGACCTGCATTGGAAACAGTGGACCCCTTCCAGAGTCGGTTGTAGAGGCGATTACTCAGGTTAACAAGCTTTTACTCTCCATTTTATAATGTTTTTGGATAATATTTTCAAATTTAGAACAGTTTTGATGATCTCTTTCTTTAATGATGTCTCAGGGTGATTTGGTGGCTGCGGGTGTCCTGTCTGGAAACAGAAACTTCGAGGGTCGCGTCCATCCCAACACACGAGCCAATTACCTGGCCTCTCCTCCTCTGGTCATTGCTTATGCTATAGCAGGCACAATGAGAATAGATTTTGAAAAAGAGCCTTTAGGTGAGTAATATCTACCAGGCATTAAATCTCATTCTTTTACATGCCGATGGTTGTTCTCCCTTTAAAAACATGAATACTGCCCATGTTTCTTGGCCTGTTTTCATCCAGCCGTGAACTCTCAGGGAAAAGAGGTTTTCCTGAGGGACATCTGGCCCACGCGGGAGGAGATCCAGGCGGTGGAGAGACAGTTTGTCATTCCTGCCATGTTTAAGGAGGTCTATGAGAAAGTTGAGGTACTGCTGACTTATAAACTACTCTTCTATAAATCAAAACAATGTCCAGATACCAAAAAGCATCATTCTGCAGTAATATTTAAACAGTGTTTTAAGTAGCGTTTGTCTGTTTTCATATTTAGAAAGTGAATGAACGCTGGAACTCCCTGAAAGCTCCTTCTGACAAGCTGTATACCTGGGATCCCAATTCTACTTACATTAAATCCCCTCCTTTCTTTGATGGACTGGTAATGTATACCATTGTCTTTTTTTTCCCATTATTATAGCTATACCCTAATAAAAAAATTGTGATCCTGGAGCACAAAAGCAGTCTTAAGTCGCTGGGGTATATTTGTAGCAATAGCCAAAAATACATTGTATGGGTCAAAATTATCGATTTTTCTTTTATGCCAAAAACCGTTAGGATATTAAGTAAAGATCGTGTTTCATGGAGATATTTTGTAAATTTCCTACCGTAAATATATCAAAACGTAATTTTTGATTAGTAATATGCATTGCTAAGAACTTAATTTGGACAACTTTAAAGGCGATTTTTTTCAATATTTAGATTTTTTTGCACCCTCAGATTCCAGATTTTCAAATAGTTGTATCTCGGCCAAATATTAATATCCTATCATAACAAACCATACATCAATGGAAAGCATATTTATGCAGCTTTCAGATGATGTATAAATCTCAATTTCAAATAATTGACCCTTATGGCTGGTTTTGTGATCCAGGGTCACAATTAGTAGATTTTAGCATACTTTAAAAAGAGTACTTATGTTTGAAATAGTCCACTTTAAAAGAATATACTTAAGTGTGAAATGAATGTAATGTTTTCAAACACTTAAATGCATGTTAAATGCAATTAAATGGAAGTGTATTATAGGTTAAATTTATATTATATGCAATGAGCTGAACTTTAAAGTGCTTTTTAAAGTACGACTTAAGTATATCTTTTATGTGTAATTTCAAAATTCCTTCTAGTGTCTTTGAAATATGGTTAAAGTACTGCTGAATGTACTGACAAGCATTTATGGTAAACTAAAATGTACTTTAATGTAATTTCTATTGAAACGTGTATGTCATGTATTTAAATATAAATGTTTAAATATTTAAATGTTGTAATTAAACATTTGTTGTTGCAGTTTAGTACATTTAAAATATTTAAATGTAACATTAAACAACACACTATAAAGTTATAATCAAGTACTTTGCATGTGCGTTATTACGTTAGTAACACATCAAAATAATTATACTTCTTTAAAACACAACAAAGATTATTAAAACATAATGATTGAGTGTACTTTACAGTAAAATTTAATTTGATGTTATTACAAAAGTCACTTTAAAAGTGTACTTAAGTGTGTTAAGAAACAGTCATGAAAGCGTCTTAAGTGGCCTTTTATTTCATTAATATTATATTATAAGCAAGTACGGATTTTTAGAAATACACTTTTAAGATTTGAAGTACACTACAAGTGCACATTCAATACTGTTATTGTATTACACACTTCTTTTTCACAAGGTTTGGCAAAAACTGTAAACACAAGTTCCTTTGCTGTTACATCTTTAGACCCGGGAGCTGCAGACACCAAACTCCATAACAGACGCGTATGTGCTGCTCAATTTGGGAGATTCTGTGACCACGGACCACATCTCGCCTGCTGGAAACATTGCACGTAACAGTGCTGCCGCACGATACCTGACCAGCCGCGGGTGAGACGTTGATTCGCTTAAGTGTATTCAGCAATTTAAGGGGGCATTCGTGGCCTAATGGTTAGCGAGTCGGACTTGTAACCCAAAAGTCGTGGGTTTGAGTCTCTGTACCGGTTTGTCTCTCTGTGTGTGTGTGTGTGTGTGTTCACTACTCACTGCTGTGTGTGTTCACTTGGATGGGTTAAATGCACAAATTCGGAGGATGGGACACCATACTTGGCTACACTTCAGTTTCACTTCCAATTCAAGCTGTTACACACCTATCTCTGTGTGATCTCTAAGTCTATATGGTCTTTAAAATGAGATGTGACTTACAATGTGTAATGTAATTCTGTTTCTATTCCTAGACTCACCCCGAGGGAGTTCAATTCATATGGTTCTCGTCGAGGGAATGATGCAGTCATGGCTCGAGGCACATTTGCCAACATCCGCCTCTTTAACAAGTTTATAAACAAGCAAGCACCAAGTACCATCTACCTTCCTACAGAGGAGACGGTGTGAAACTCTAATATTATTATTATAGTAGTAATAAGTAATATTTTGTATTATTTTAATAATAGAATATAATGCAAAACATGTATGTTTTTATATGTGTGTGTGTGTGTATGTATGTATGTATATATATATATATGTATGTATTAGGGTTGCCAACTGTCCAGTTTTAGACGGGACGTCCCTTATATTGTCCCCAATTGATTTGTCCCGTACGTGACCTCCCTTGTCCCGTTTATTGATTGCTACGCTGATCTAACCACTGACTGATACAACAGCAACAGTGCTGATCACGACACTTGAGAATGATCACCAGATAACATACAGATAACAAACTCCAAACTGAGAATGAATCATTCTTTTTGGACAAATCGGTTTTAAGACCAAGCGGAATCTTGCAGAATTTTGATTTCGGCAAATAAGTTTGAGCGAATGCAAACAACGTGAATATTGTTCATGAGTCCAACATCCAGCCACGCAAGAAAACATGCAATCTGCCTGAGAGAAGACGTGTTAAAAAAGGCAAGTCGTCTTTAGTTCATGTTGTTAAATAGAGAAAAACATTTCGCGTTTAAATAACTAAAGGCGTATTCTTAACCTTGGACCTCATTTTTAAAACACAAAATGACCAATAAAAAATTCTCTAAGTTGTCTTTAATTGAAAATATGCATTTTCATTCATTCATACAGTACATGGTTGCAACAACATTTTAGTTCAAAATTTGTAGTTTAAAAAATGCTTTATTGACTCACGTTTTAGTATGTATTAGGGTTGCCAACTGTCCAGTTTTAGACGGGACGTCCCTTATATTGTCCCCAATTGATTTGTCCCGTACGTGACCTCCCTTGTCCCGTTTATTGATTGCTACGCTGATCTAACCACTGACTGATACAACAGCAACAGTGCTGATCACGACACTTGAGAATGATCACCAGATAACATACAGATAACAAACTCCAAACTGAGAATGAATCATTCTTTTTGGACAAATCGGTTTTAAGACCAAGCGGAATCTTGCAGAATTTTGATTTCGGCAAATAAGTTTGAGCGAATGCAAACAACGTGAATATTGTTCATGAGTCCAACATCCAGCCACGCAAGAAAACATGCAATCTGCCTGAGAGAAGACGTGTTAAAAAAGGCAAGTCGTCTTTAGTTCATGTTGTTAAATAGAGAAAAACATTTCGCGTTTAAATAACTAAAGGCGTATTCTTAACCTTGGACCTCATTTTTAAAACACAAAATGACCAATAAAAAATTCTCTAAGTTGTCTTTAATTGAAAATATGCATTTTCATTCATTCATACAGTACATGGTTGCAACAACATTTTAGTTCAAAATTTGTAGTTTAAAAAATGCTTTATTGACTCACGTTTTATAGACATTCAGTTGTTCTGCTTTCAGATTCTATGCCATCTGTATGACATTACAATTCTTTTTAGAATTTAAATATACATAAATAGGTTATGTCTGAGAACCTTTTTTACACCTTTTATACACATACTTGACTGCAGACACTGAAATGACATTCACTATGTGGTACAGTACAAATATTTTAAGTGTCCCTTATTCTGTGCCTTATTGTCATATAATGAGCCACGATTGTCCCTTATTGTCCTTTTCTGAAGTTGGCTGCTTTCAGATTCTATGCATTCTGTATGACATTACAATTCTTTTTAGAATGAAAATGTACATAAATAGGTTATGTCTGAGAACCTTTTTTTTTTACACCTTTTATACACATACTTGACTGCAGACACTGAAATGACATTCACTATGTGGTACAGTACAAATATTTTAAGTGTCCCTTATTCTGTGCCTTATTGTCATATAATGAGCCACGATTGTCCCTTATTGTCCTTTTCTGAAGTTGGCAACCCTAGTGTGTGTGTGTGTGCATTGCAATTTTCACTTTTTAAATACAATTTTTTTCTGTGTGTGTTTCTGTTTGTTTTTGTTTTTTTGGCAGATGGATGTGTTTGATGCTGCAGAGAAATACCAGCAGGCTGGTCATCCTCTCTTGATTCTGTCGGGCAAAGAGTATGGATCGGGAAGCTCTAGAGATTGGGCGGCTAAAGGGCCCTTCCTGCTGGTGAGACTTTATGCATCATCTAATGTTTCTACAAAATCATATACTGAGACATTTATGCATAAATGAGTTGCTCAGGTTGAAAAATCGACATTCAGGTAGAGAAATGGATCGTTGTTTTCTTGGACAAGATGATCCATTTCTGTCTGGAAGCTATATGTATGGGAGAAAATCAAGCTTTCAGTACATATTGCGTCCACATAGTTTAATTCGTGGCAATCCTAGTCTCTTTCAATCCTGTCTGCATGTGATGTCCCTTGTGGAAAAAGAAGTGTGCTTAAGTGTATTAAATGTGCACGTAGTGTACTTCGGTATTTATTTATTTTTATATAGCGCTTTTAACAATACAGATTGTGTTAGGAAAATTAATTATAGTATAGTGACAATAGTAAACACTCATACTGTAAATACGGTACTGGCGTACTGTAGATAATGTAACTTTAATGAAATAAAAGGCTACTTAAGTGACTTAAAGAGAGACACTTATATTCACTTATATTTCTGAACACGTCAAATTAAATTTTACTGTAAAGTACACTTAATCACTATGTTTTAATAATCTTTGTTGTGTTTTAAAGTATAACTATTTTTATGCGTTACTAACATAATAAAGCACATGCAGATTACTTAATTATAACTTTATAGTGTGTTGTTTAATATTACATTTAATGCATTTTAAATGTAATTGCAACTACAAATTGCAACTTCAAACGTGTAATTACAAATATATTTAAATACATGACACAAACGTTTCAATAAAAATGACATTAAAATATATTTTAGTTTATTATAAATGCTTGTCAGTGCATTCAGCAGTACTTTAACGAGATTTCGAAGACAATAAGAGTAATTATAAAATTACATGCGGTATGAAGATGCACTGAAGTCCTACTTAACTGGGTGATAACACTTTGAAGTTCAGCTAATTGCATTTAATACAAATTTAAACTATAACACATTTTGACTTAATTGCAGTTGACATACATTTGAGTGTCCGAAAACATTGCATTAAGTTCACACTTAAGTGTATTCTTTTAAAAATATGTTATTTCCGTAATAAGTACTCTTTTTACAAGTATGCTAAAGTGCACTTCTTCTTTACACTTTCGCAAACAGCCAGTTTCTGGATCTGACAGAAAACGATGCATTCCTCTCAGTGCCGATGATTTTTGGTTTTCTGTCTCAGGGCATCAAAGCTGTTCTAGCGGAGAGTTACGAGCGGATTCATCGCAGTAATCTGGTTGGGATGGGCATCATCCCTCTGGAGTATCTGCCGGGTGACAGCGCTGAAAGCCTGGGGCTCACCGGCCGCGAGAGATACACTGTGATCATTCCTCCACAGATCACGCCCAGAATGACCGTCGACATCAAGGTGCACGCATGATTTCACCTCAAACTGAGCCTTAAATCGGCCGTTTATAAAACGGAGCGTTCCGGTCCTTGATTCTGATTGGCTGAGCCGTGTTCTAAGCTGTTGTAAATTACTCTACAAACACACACCTTTGTTTACTTTGTGTGTTGCTCGGCAACCACTTTGTTGGAACCACAACTGTTTCTGAGGAACTACATTGTTTGGTGGAAGAATACTGTTTTTATTAATATCATTACACTTTATTTGCTCTGTTTTATTTTGTGAAACCTTACTACGTATATGGAATAACCGTTTTATAAAAGCAATAAGCCCCAAGAAGCCATGGT